TGCCGCTTCGGTGTTCCCAGAACAATAGTCATGGACAATGGCACAAACCTCGACAGCAGGCAAGTAAGAAAGCTGCTGGAGGAGTATGGAATCAACCAGAAGTTGGCTGCAGTAAGTCATCCTCAGGCTAACGGACAAGCAGAAATCACAAACAGAACCATTTTCGCCTGCATTAAGAAGAAGCTGGAAGATCATAAGGGGAAGTGGTTGGATGAACTCCCGAACGTTCTATGGGCTTACAGAACCACCCCAAGGCGGCCGACTGGGGAGAGCCCGTTCGCAATGGCGTATGGTACCGAAGCAGTTATACCGGTTGAGCATTTAGTCCCCACTATCAGAAGCTTAGCATGGAGTCGAGATCAGAACGACAAGATGTTAAGATTGAACCTCGACATGATAGACGAAAGGAGGGACGCAGCGGCTATAAGGCTAGCATCGTATCAGCAAGTGCTGGCGAATAGTCACAATAAGAGAGTAAAACACAGGGATTTTGCCCCGGGCGATCTGGTTCTGAAAAGAAAGGTGGGGATGGTCAAAAAAATGATGCCACCCTGGGAAGGCCCATACAGAATTGCAGAAGTCATTGGCAAAGGGGCATATACGTTGGAAACCATGGCGGGAAAGTTGGTCAGCAAGCCCTGGAACGCCACGTCTCTGAAGAGGTACTACCAATAGAAGCTAAGTTCTGGCTTTAATTGGATGTTATTTGTTGTCAATCAAATACGTATGAATGAGCAAGTTACTGGAATTTACAAAAAAAAGAATTTTCTTTTCCAATGGTCTACTATAAAAATTTAAAGACAAGTGGCAAGTGGCATTCTAGCCGAGCGCCAGGCACTTAAGCAAGATAAGTGGCAGCTGGCACTATAAGCCGAACGCCAGACACTTGCTAAAAATTTAAAGCCAAGTGGCAAGTGGCATTCTAGCCGAGCGCCAGGCACTTAAGCAAGATAAGTGGCAGCTGGCACTATAAGCCGAACGCCAGACACTTGCTAAAAATTTAAAGCCAAGTGGCAAGTGGCATTCTAGCTGAGCACCAGGCACTTAAGCAAGATAAGTGGCAGCTGGCACTATAAGCCAAACGCCAGACACTTGCTAAAAATTTAAAGCCAAGTGGCAAGTGGCATTCTAGCCGAGCGCCAGGCACTTAAGCAAGATAAGTGGCAGCTGGCACTATAAGCCGAACGCCAGACACTTGCTAAAAATTTAAAGCCAAGTGGCAAGTGGCATTCTAGCCGAGCGCCAGGCACTTAAGCAAGATAAGTGGCAGCTGGCACTATAAGCCGAACGCCAGACACTTGCTAAAAATTTAAAGCCAAGTGGCAAGTGGCATTCTGGCCGAGCGCCAGGCACTTAAGCAAGATAAGTGGCAGCTGGCACTATAAGCCGAACGCCAGACACTTGCTAAAAATTTAAAGCCAAGTGGCAAGTGGCATTCTAGCCGAGCGCCAGGCACTTGCCGTACAAACACACAGCGAAGCTAATATAAAAAGAAAAAGAGAGAAAAGATATGTATGTACTGAAGATAAGTTGAACAGAGCACAACACATAGAGAAAAAGAGTTCGGCCATTTCATTAATATTGAACATTTAGTTTACAAAAGAGAGATGTCCATCATTACAAGAAGATATGAACTGAAAGAATTCGAAGGAGCCCTAGCTAGACGCCTCAGTACCAACAGCATCCTGGTCTTGCCGACTCGCCTCCTCGGCCCCATCAGCCGCCTCACCTTCATGAGGTGGGGAATCCAGGTGAATAACTGAGTCGTTCGGCTGGGGTTCAGCGTCAGCAGTGGCTACAGAGGGAGCCACGGTTGACGATTGGGGAGCGGTCAGTGGCAGAGCGGTAGGAGGAGCTGTGATGATCCTTGAGGATGCGATGTCCTGGCACTCATCAAATATACGTTCCGCTTCGGTGGGTTCTGGGTCGACATAGACCCCCAGAGGTTCGATCCCCAGATCCTTGTCTACCTCATCCGGAGTGGAGCTGGTCTGTCCCTCATCCGGAACCCGGTCGGCGAAACCTTCCCGGAATCCTTGAGCATACCGAAGAGCACCGACCCTGGAGAACCGAGCGTGAAGGGCCAGCATCCCACCACCCACTCTGCTGATAGCGTCGATCAGAGCGGTACGCTCGTCCAGAGCTCTTTTTTCAAAAGCCATCCGAGCAGACTGTTCATCAGCTAGAAGGCGTTGGAGTTCTGCCTTCTCTTCTCTGAGTGATTCCTGCTCAGTCTGCCAGACGCTCTTCTCAAGCTGAAGGGCGTCCTTCTCATCCTGAAGGGAATCATTCTCCTTTTTCAGGACATCTCTCTCTTGCTCGGCTTTGTCAAGCCGAACCAGCACCTCGGTATTCTTCATGGCAAGGAGGTCGTTTTCTTTATTAGCCACCTCCAGGCTGTCAGAATACTTTCGGGCCCTGGCGTTCCCCATCTCCACCTGCTTCTGCATGGCCATCATCCCGAACAATGTCTGCATAGGTGCACAATAAGAACGGTTAAACCAATAGTCAGAACGGGCGGAGGCAAGACCAAGTAATATAAGAGAATTCATGAGTTAGAAAATAAAAGTCACCTCCATAGCAGATTGGGGAAAGCGACTGAACACGTCCTTCTGGGAAAGGCCCTTTGCCGCCTCAATGTCCTTCGGAGTCCACATGCTCCTGTAGTAGGCCATAGCGGTCTGGCCATCCTTCAGCATGGTCTCGTTCGGTTTCACGAACGTCCCATCCGTTCAGGTGTACCGAGGGGCCCATGGCGGTAAGCTGGGGATAGAAGGGGGGCCTGAAGCAGAAGCAGAGCCACCAGCTGCAGGAGGCCCAGAGGGAGAAGGAGCTCTGATCGCTCGGTGCAAGAGAGTACCCGGCCCAGAGACTCGGGTCCTTCTAATGAGAGGCTCCTCCTCAGGATCGATTTCACTGTCAGGATGAGGCCTTTTGCCTCGCTCTTTGTCCCGACCGCCCCCCGCAGCAGCAGGAGCTATGGTAGCTGGGGAGGGCGCGTTCTGGTTGGCAGCAGGGGCGCTGGCAACAGGGTTAGTAGCCACTGCGCTCGGGACAGTGTCAGATATGGTGGCTGAAGAAGAAGCCGACGCTGGAGAGGAGGTCGCCCCAGTAGCAGGAGTGGCTGGGGGAGTATTTTTCCTCCTGCCAAAAGAGGGAATCTGCAGTCTGCTCATATTGTAGCCGAGTGATGAGAGCGCAAAGAGGTTGTCTGAAGTGAGGAGATCTGAGCAGGAAGGAATATCGTTCAGAACGTATCTCTTCAAGTAGTTACTCCTATCCCTGCAAACACTATAGCTCAAGTCATCACAAGGTATTCCCAAGGAGCGGCATAAGTAAGTGCAAAAACGAGGAACGCATGTTTCACAGGGGCAGTCATGTTTATGGGATTTGAATTTTTTATAGGAGGAGACAGAGCAGACACCAAAGGCGCTCGGGATTGGGTAATCCTCTGCAGCCGGCGAAGACCAAGCCCCACTAATGCCCACTATGCTATCCCTCCAACCCTTTTCAGATTTTATTGTGTCAGTGCATATGGACATCTTCTCGAACGGGTAGAGGTGGTAGAAGGGCTCGTTAGTACGGATCTTACTGACCTTATAGCACAGAAGGAGGTCTATGAGGTCAAGGTCCAGATTTCTGTCACGCATCAATAAGAGCATAACAGATATGATCCTAAAGAAGTTGGGGTTGACCTGCAGAGGGGATATCCCCAATCTATTGAACATATAACTAAAGAAAGGGTGCAGAGGGAACCTAACAACATTCAGTTGAAGGTTCGTGAATAAGACTTCGCCGGGCAGGAGGCCGGCGCCGGTCGTAATATTAACGTCTTGGGGGCAAACCCTAACTTCGATGTTGTCAGGAAGTCTAAGTCTCATACGAAGAACACCCAGATCTACAACCATGGTGGAAGTGCTAGAAGAATCTAAAAGAGGGAAAATGGAAGCCTGCCGAAAGTAAAAAGAACGAAACTAACCTCGGAGGACTGCAAGATCGCTGGGAGAATGACTCTCGAAGGATTTCACCGGAAAAGGCTTAGCACAGTTCTAGAAAGAGGGAGATTTGGCTGATGATGGAGACGGTAAAGGGAAGTGAAGTGGAATTCTAGAGCATTATAAAGGCAAGGGGGCCCGAGGGCCGAAGCGTCGGGAAGGCAAGAAATCCCTCGAGCCCCGGAACATTGATTCTGGATCTGACCGTTCGCTCCCCCACGTGGTTATCTCGAGCCGTCAGCGTCATGATGAGACGCCATCAATAATTACCCCTTATTAAATAAGGGGCAATTATGGGGGCAGTTGAGGAGGCCCCAGATGACATGGGCCAGGTCCGACTCGCAAAACACAACCTTCAGTCCGAACAGCTGGGTCAGCCCATAGAAAGACACTGCCATATGGGCCGAGCGGGAGTAAGCCCATCAAGGGTGACCAGGGCTTACAGAGGAATAGGCCCAGGTCCAGCAATTAGTAAATATCTTGTAAATATCTTGTAAGTATCTATAAATAGGAGTTGGAATGAAGAGGAGAGGGATCTTTTTCGGGTTGAGGTGTAAGAATTCTAGAGAGAGAAAGAATAGAAGGAGTTTCTTGCATCTTCAGCTATTCATTATAGTGAAATTTCAGCTTGCCATGTAGAATAGCCCAAGTTTGGACGAACTACGTAAATGCTTGTATATGCTTGAATTTGTGTTTTCTTTTACTGTTAATTTTCGCAACAGGGGAAGATTGATACACACACATGCATATATTTTCCTTGTTTGCATGGCCTCATTATATATTTAACCTCGTGAAATGCACCATTTCTGATTTACCATATCAACTTTCTCACAATTTTCTTCCCACCCTCGAGATTTTTCCATTTTCAGCATTTTGACATTAAAAAGAATGAAAGATTTGAGTTTAACCACCATTTTCGTCCATTATAAATTTATAATCTAATATTAATGGAACATTTTCCTTTAAAGACAGTGAAGGCACTCGATGAAATAAAAGATTGATTACCTTTGTAGACCTAATCTGCTTCAAGGATGAGTCCAGCTGATGCTCAAGTTGTTCAAGGTCCTTTATGTTCAGCGGGCCCAAGTCTTCTCCCAGAAGGTGTCTACAGTTTTAAGAATTCAAAGTTCCATGAATATAGCAATTAATAAGATTTAGGCATATAATCTAGTGCCTCAACTAGATAAGGAACTCAACTACTCAAGACCATATCGACATTTGACATTACTTGGTACTTGTCCTGAAGACTAATTACCTTTGATATTGTTGGAGCGACTCATATTTCTCTTTCAGTGCTAAGTACTCTCTGTAGCTGCTTTGCTATAGGACAGGACAATAGATAAATATGTTAAAAGTCATGAAAACAGAATGAACATAATTGAAACAAACTATGAAAAGCATGAGAATATAAGTTTGAATCCTGAGAGCAGTCACTTGGTTCAGGTTCAAATCATTCTAAAGGATTCGTTTATATTGCGTTTGTCTTCCCAATACTCTCGATTGACGAAAATCACACTGGGTAATGACCCTTTTTTTTTTCTCTATTGATCAGTACTATCCAACAAGCAGATAATGAACCTAAAAGCTTCTTGTATTTTTGTGCTAATTGATGGCGTTATAACCCTGTGACGAAATTAAAGGCAAAACAGAAAATAAAGTTACCTCGGCCTCAGCTGAGCGGCTGACTTCGATTGTACCATAACTGCATTTTTGGTACCTTTCAAGTGTTTTGAGCATGCTGAGACAGTAATGAAAAAAAGTGGATTAGTATAGCTGAATATGAACATAGAATAAGGAGATTGTTTCATTATATGTATACTATTCTTTGCTATTTGTGTTTGTTTTCTTCTAATTGATTGCGGAGTGATTCCATATTTGGATTCTTCAGTAATTCCAATCCTGTAACAAGCAACATAATTTGAAATACAGCCGGCATGTAGCTAGTAGAAACTGCATTGCTTCAATGGTACGTACTAGTTCTCTAGTAATGAAACAAGACTATTATGGCCAATTATATGAAGGGAAGGAGATGATTTTGGGATTGAGGGGATCCACGCACATGAACAATGCATTTTTTTTAAAGGGATCATACTGTATTCGATTTGATAATCACGCAAACTTTCAAGTCAATATGAACAAAAATAAGTTCTAGAAATGATAATAGTAAGGGCTGCAAAAGGGCTTCCTCGAATTGTTTCATCAATGGTGCATTTTGGCATAATATTAGTGCTAAGCTCCTAGGAGGCACACTGTTTAGGGTCTTGCATATGGTGAAACATGCTTGAACTTACTGAGTCAAACATTTTAAGGTCTAAATGAGGTTTTTCTAATATAAACAATTACAATTTTCATGGGACTTTCACTTCTTGCTATTATAAATTCTGAGTTTCTTCTAGTGACAAATCTTGGTTTGGCCACTCCAAGAATTTGATTAAAGAATGTATATATGTACGCATTTGTACCTGAACTGAATAAAAAGTTGGTATGAATGTCAGGTTCATATATCTCTAAATTAATGGGAAAATGCATAAAGCTTAATCAAGAGAGCAATTTTTTTTGATAAGTAACCAAGAGAGCCATTTAAGCAATAAACTAGTCTCCTAACCCTTGCTTTCAAAGATTTATCACAGCTAGATCATATCAAGGTATAGTAAACACAACCAAGCTAATTCAATTTACCTGTTGAACTCATAAAAGGTCATAAAACGATACCATTCAAGATAATTCATATCATTTCACTACTCGAAATCATCATTGGAAATAAAGCCTTTGGTGGCATTCATTGGAGAGAACGAAGTACTGAAGTTGAATTCTGAATAATGGCTCTTATTTGTTTTTTTGGGTAAATAAAATTTACTAGGGATGAGAAAGAACTCCGTACAAGAGGGGAAAACACCTCCAAGGGCCCAAAGGGAACAAGGCAAAAAGGGGCATTAACCAAAATCAACAGTTTAAATGGAGGGAACAAGCTCATGGCTCACAAAGAGGAACTGTAATTCGGAAAAACATATGAGCCATTAAACAAATGGCTCTTAGGGTTTCTGAGTTTTTCTTTTTTCTTTTTCTATTTTGTTAAATCAACTACAATTCCAGTGATATTTCGTTTCTGAAGATTATACTATCTTGGGTACTTACAAATTTTTTATTTTTTATTTACTTTTTTATCCTGACAAATTAAAATGAGGGAGATTAGAACACGAGCACACCCGCTGGAGGAGCTGGGCGGTCTACTAACTAGACCACTGAATAATACCTTAGTACCTAGAAATAATTAATGATCCCAGATGTTTAGCCCAACTAATGATCCCAAAGGTTTGTAAACTCTCTCTCTCTCACTTGGAATCTCATTCTCACTTATTCTTTCTAGAGTAGTGATACTTATAATTTTTGATTTCTAACTTATTCTTTCTAGAGTAGTGATACTTCTTAAATTTTTTATTGGTCATTTCTAAAGTAGAAATCCCACTTCCTTTTATTTTGCATATTCGACCAATCAAAACTCATCAAATTAACCTAAAAATCATTTTCCTTCTTTCAATGCCTATTTACCTCCTCCATATGGAATCACTTTCAATTGCTTTACAAATTCCAATTCACTCCTTCCACCTAGCTTTCTATGCTCTCATGGGCATCTTCTTCTTGGATCCACCCAGTCTTTCACCTTTCTAATACTCTCTTCTTGGCAACAAGCATCCATGCTATTCTTCCTCTCCTCAGTCCCTCATTCACTCCATTACTACCACAACTAAGACTTCACACATGATCTTTTAAGGACAGCAGAGCAGCTAGATCACTCGCAGCACGCTGGCATCTCCCCAAGCTCCACTATCAGACCACCATGGAAGCCTCCAGACCAGCTAGGCATTGGGAACTAGAGATCGAAGTTCCCAGCTGTTCCTTTACTGCCACTCAAACCTCTATGCCGGTCTGCTGTCCTAGATGCTAATGCTCTATTACTTCTTGTAATTGTTTTACTGTGATAGTCCTTGCTGCTCCCTTCCTCACTGGAGCTTGTTTGTATATTTTTCTACCTTACTACAACTTGCTTTCCTTACCAAAAAAGAAAAATAATATATATATATATATATATATATATATATATTTTTTTTTAACACCAGTCCCCCAGTTCTCTTCCTTATTATTCCTCTTTCCTTTTTCATTCAGCTTACCTTTCAGTTTTCAAGTAATTATATTATTTCAAACCCTAGACAAATGAATCAAGGGTAATTACCCATCCAAAAAAAACAACAACCATCCTTGTTTTTATTTACCAAAATAATAATAATAATAATAATAATAATAATAAAAAACCAGAAAATCACTAATCGCGGAACAAACTTTTTCAGGTTTTCTAATTGCTTGTTCGACCAAATGGTCATTTGAAAAGCTCAAAAGAAAATATTAATAGCACAAGTCATACAACCGCTTAAGAATTTGTGGCACTTCAGACTATTAAGAACTTCATTTGACTTGTGAGATTCCATTAAACATATACGTAGTGTGTGTGTATATATATAGACACACATGTTCTAATCGTTGAGACTAGAGAAGGAGTCAACGCGGAAATTAGAGGTTGGGAGGAAACTCTAGAATTAAAATAGTTTAAGATAAGTAGAAATAAATTTGAACTTGTGGAGTATAACTTTAGTAAATTTAGAAATATAAATAAAGCTGTAGTAAAGATTGAGAACCAAGAAATATAAAAAAAGTGAATATTTTCGTTATTTAGATTCAATTATTCATAATGAAAGAAAAATTGGAGATGATAAGAATCATAGAATCAAGACAGAATGGGCTAAATAAAAAAGTGCATCTAATATATTATGTGCATGACATTGCCTACTAAATTCGAAGTTAACACAACTACGATCGATGCCACTTCGATCGTGACCAACGCAAGTTGCCACTAAAAAAATTTCCTTCTGGCGCTGCCCCGTATCCCCATGATCTTGATCTCCTTATTTAACCAGTGAATTAAAAGATTCATTAAAATGCTCATTTGACTTTTCACAAATCCCAGGATGACATTACTCTTCAAATAATTCATTACACATTTCAAGTGTGCAACCAACTGCATCTTTCACAATCCTGGAGAGATGGTTAACAAATAGACCGACAGATAACTATACTTCTATAACTTATTTGAAAGAAAAAAAAATAATAATAAATTTACATATCGATTCTAGGTTGCTTCATTGAAAAATTGGTAAAACATTACGTACCTGCTTCGTTTATCACTCAAATATAGTTCTTGAGGATTTAGAAAATAGAAAACTATTTTCATATTATGTTCTTAGAGAACTATAAAGCATAATTATAGTTCCCTCTTGTACTATAAAGCATAATTGCAGAAGGCTGAGTCTGTAGCCTTTTTTGTATTTTGCTTGCTAGGTCTGGATTCCTATCACTTGTTTTTCGCTGGGTCTCTGCAGCTGTTGTGCATCTTGTTGTTTCCTATCTTATAGGTCCCTCTTGTACATTTTTCTTCATTTATACAAGCTTACCCTTTAACTAAAAAAAAAAAAAAACTATAAAGCATAATTCTATGAAACAAGGCTTCTTTTCGAATTCAACTGAGTTTCGAAAAAAAATATTTCTTTGAAACTGTCAACCGAGTAAATTTTTATACAGTTTTTGTATTTTCAGTTTTCAAAAAACAAAACCAAGCACAATATCTATTTATTTATTTTTTACAATCGATCTCCTCAAGGAATCTTGAAAATGTTTCAAATTAAGAACGTTGAAATATTGTTATATGTTATATATACTAGGAATATTTTCTTTTGTAATTATTATAATTAGACAAATTTCAATTAGATTAATTTTCTATGTGCATGGAATTTCAAAGGGGTGCCAAGGCTTCTTTTGTAGCAGCTTTTTCTATACCTTCTATTTTGACATATATATATATATATATATATATATATATATATATCAGGTGACAATCTTTTTGAAAAATTTGATTGTAGAGAGGATTGTTAGAACAAAACGTATTAATGACAAGTGATGATCTTGAAGTAAGATTGTCAAAACCAGATCTTAATTAAGTGAGAATAAAAGGAATAAGTGAAGATTATTTTAGTGTTAAAAGGTCAAATCAATAACGTATAACATTAATTTGAAGTACTTCAGTCTTCATAGCAGGTAATATTGCACTTTAACAAATTCCTACTAATTACACATTTAAAGCATAAAGAACAAAGAATTTATAATGCTTATCAGATCCTGTAAACTGAAATAAAATAACAATAAATTCCAAATAAAATAACAATATTACTTAAAGTGAAAAAGGACACAATTTAAATCAATCACTTAAATACTGCAGTAGCATGCTTCATTGAAACCTGTGAAATATTTTAGGTTCCAAAACAATAGTAAACTGAAAAAGAACTTTCTCTATCTGGCCATTGCATCAGATATTGATGTTCTGCCCACAAAAAGAAAAATTGTATTCAATTAGTCATCTCAGGATTTTAACAAATTCACAGGTATGGAATCAAAGGGACAATCTTCTCTTTCCACCTAAACCCCCTTAAACATATAAACTATCCACAGCAAAATTCATTTCAAAGACCTAGCGGTATAATGACCTAGCGGTATAACCTTTCTATCCTGAGAGAGGAGGGGGAGGGGTTTGAGCTCGGTTACCATTTGAGAAAAAAAAAAAAAAATCAAAATCAAAGATCATTAGCTACATATATGAAGACTTCTAATAGAAACCCTATATTAATTTCAAATTGCATACAAAACAAAGAAAGGAATTAGAGAGATACATATGCATGGAAGAATTAAAAGCTAGTACCGTATATATATTTATGTATGTATAAAAATACAAATACTATATACATATTTGTTGGGTGTGTGTCATATATATAGTGGTAGTGAAAGATCTGCAACAGAAGGGTTAAAAAACAATATATATATATATATACATATCTCTTTTTTTGCTAATGAAGAATCAACTCACCGCTAGCCTCTTTGAACTCTCGGATGATTTGCAAACCTCAAATATGTGCAATTGTTAAAGAAATCGAAATTAATCAAAGCGAAACATCGAAGAAGACCTTCATTGCAAGAATCAGTCACAGATGTGAGCAGATCAAGACACAACCTTTACAATACCAAATTACAAAAATAAAAAACTTACTTTAAAATTAAAATATAAGAGATAATCATCCCCAAATAATTGAGAAAAGGCTTAGTTGTTATTATCGTACAGAAATAATCATAAAAAAGAAAATAAAGTTTATTATTTCAATGTGAATTGCACCAAAAATCCCATAAAAGAGAAATCTTGATGACAAAACATATAAATCCAAGCACCCAACAAGAGAAAGCAAGGTCAATTACAGATCTTATACACACAAACACAAATTTATATATATAGAGAGATAGAGTATATACTTGGAGCTGCTGCAGAACTCATAGAGCTTGCCACGGTTGGAGAAGATGATGAGAGCAACCTCAGCTTCACAAAGAACAGAGAGCTCATAGGCTTTCTTGAGCAACCCATTCCTCCTCTTTGCAAATGTCACCTGTCTGTTTATTTTGTTCTCTATCCTCTTCAGCTCTACTCTTCCTCTTCCCATAATTTCCTCTTCTATCTCTACTTCTATATAATATGATTTATATTTAACTAAATATAGATATATATCTATATATATTATTATAACTACAGTACCCTTTTTCTTCTTCTTCTTTTAGCTACCAGTTTTATTTTCTTTCTGCAAGAGAGTACTCAAATTAACCAAGAAAGAAAGGTGTAAACTGGAAACCCCATAAAGTAAATGTATATGTGTATGAATTTATAGAGAGAGAAAGTGATAGAGAAGTGATGAGAGAGAAAGAGGGTGTTCTGTATTTAGCTTTGTTCTTCCTTGGATTCTCTATTTGAACCCTCAGGGATTACCCTTCTGCACCCCCACACCAGAAATGAAAGCTAGGGTTGGTGTTCTTTCCACTTTGAAGCTTCATGTTTTTTAACCCATTGGTAAAGGCAGTGACCCACGCGCAGTGTGGTGCGCGTGGAAGCAAATCTCTTTGATTTGATTGCAATTAAGTGATCTGAGGAGGTGGGGTCCATGTGTCGTGCTTATTGATGGGTTTCAGAGACTGTGGATGTGAACAGGGAGGGACTGCATTTGGAAAGTAGTGTAGACGCGCCATGTGGGAGAGTGGCAGCAGATGTGTCGTTTTTGTTTGCTATTTCCATTTCAGTTGTATTGTCTTCAAAAATTTCAGAGCTGCATCACTATCCTTATATGGGTATACCACGTGTCGGTACTTCAGTGGCTGCATATATTAATCATGCAATTAAATTTTATTTTTCCTTTTTGTGCTCTTTACAATAGTTGTATTTGATACAACTCAATAATTTTAGCTGGGATTGAATATGGTAAAAGCTAATATTGTAAATGATGTGATCACTCACATATGATGTTTTTTTTTTTTTTTTTTTTTTTTCAGTTAAAGACTCACACGTGATGTTCCGTGTGATGTATTGTATAAAATGACTGATAATTTGTTCGTATAAGTATTTCACGCGCATGAATAATTATAAGATCACCATATTATTATTATACCAAATTCACTCATTCAGTAATAGACGGAATGATATTTTATCAACCTCCTAAAGTACTAAAGTAGGAGTTTAGGGTTTAAATAATTTTAGGGGCAAATGAATATTTAAATGAATATTTGAATTTCTTGAGAAGGAAAAAAGTAAATAAATAAGTAATATTTCTAATTAAGGATTGGTTTAGCAATGGTCTTTCGTTTCATATTTTTGTTATGGAAAAGGTGAAAAACAAAAACTACTGGTTGGTTTAGCAGTAGTCTTTTGTTTCATATTTTTGTTATCAAATAGGTGAAAAACATAAATAAGTGGCGAAAGTATGTGTAGTAACATTTGTTACCTTTAAACACCAAAGGTCCCCGAATCTGATGTGGCTGGCCACATCATACACTTTAAAAAATAGAAAGAGTTTCCCTTACGTTTATAACTAAAAGGGAAAATAAAATAAGAAACAAAAGATTGCTTACTTCCTCTTTCCTCACAAACCAGGAAACTAAAACGTCTCCACAATTAGCGTAGGAGAGAGAGCTTTGTTACATATGGCTCTGTTACCGATCGCTCCAAGAAAAATAATCCAAAACCTTATCATCTTTTTGACGTGTTGGGTTTTGCGTTTAGGACTTAGATAATGGTTCACTACTCTATAATCTGTTATATATTTCAATTTAAAATTTTGGTAATGGAGAAGAGAGGAAAACAAATAACATACAATTTACAAGATTAAAGAACATAACTAGAAATTTTTCACATAAAATTAGGGCTTCGATATGTAGTATATGTCCCTAGGGTTTTGAAATTGTAAAATCAATAGCCTTACCTCCAAACCCAACACTTTTTTTTTTTTTAATTATTATTTTTTTTTTATGAGTTACCGGGTTTGTGAGGGAAGAGTATGAAGGCTATTTTTCTTTCTCTTTTTATTTGTATTTTTTTTTCCTTTCTGCTATACTGAAACTATTTACTGTGAGATATATTTTATAATTGGCTAATTTCATTGTCAAAATAAGTCCGATCGAGTTATAATTTTTCTATTCAAAATTTCAAAGATTGAAGATCGGATACGGATTTGAAGAAGCACAAGTGTTCATGGGTTACTGCACTCTGAGATGATGAGAACAATGCTTTAGGAAGGTATGTGAGTGAGTGAGAACACTTAGAGAGTTTAAAAGGCTAAAGGAAACAAAGATTTCTATTCTGCCTCTTTAGAACCGGTAGAAAACATTGGTTCACAAAAGGTTGATCACTGCCAACTTTAAACCGGTGGGAGAAATGGGAACCAGTAGCCAAAGTACGTCGAAAAGGCTTCTGACCTTCTTGAACCGGTAGCAAAATTGGGAACCGGTAGCAGAAGTCCATCTTGAAGCAGTAGCCAATTTGCGAACTGGTAGCAAGACAGTTTTGGCTTTTACCAGCGCTCAAAAGCGCTGGTAAAAGTCTAAAAAAGCGCTGGTAATTCAATTACCAGCGCTTTTGAAAAAGCACTGGTAAATCTAGTGTCGATAGGCCTTTACCAGCGCTTCCGGAAAAGTGCTGGTAAAGTCCTTTTACCAGCGCTTTTCCGGAAAGCGCTGGCATAGAGTATTTACCAGCGCTTTTTGGAAAAGCGTTGGTAAAAAGACTTTACCAGCGCTTTCTACAGAAGTGCTGGTAGAGTGTATTTACCAGCGCTTTTTGCTAAAGTGCTGGTAAAAAATAATTTTAATTTTTTTTTTTAATTTTTTTTCTTCCCCCCCCCCCCCCCCCCCTATGCCAGCGCTTCTTAAAGGAGCGCTGGTAAAGGGGTGTTTTTTTATTTTATTTTATTTTATTTTATTTTTTATATATATATATATATATATATATATATATATTTTAATAGTTTTTGGAAAATAATTTATATATATATATATATATTTTTTATAGTTTTTGGGAAAAAATATCAGTACAACTATTGCAACTACCAACTACTAAATGTTATCCAATATAACACAAGTTAATATAAAAATACCATCCAAATTGTTTTTACATAATACAACCACAAAGTTAACCATGCCAATATGAAAATTACCATCGAAATTGGCTACTAATACAACCACAAGTTAAGCTGATAAATGTAAACCAAAAAGCAAAAATGTATACTAATACAACCACAAGTTAACCTGCCAATATACCACCCAAATTGTCTAAATAAAGCTACTAAATGTCAAGACAAAAAGAATTAAGAATTTTTGACAAATGTAGTACAAGTTTTTCAAAAAGAACCCATCCAAAGCGAAGGAAATTCAAAAAGCACAGCCACAACCCCATCTTCAACTTCAACAAGTCTTGTTGCCCATTTGATTTGAATTACCCTACATTTTTTATAAATTCATTACGCACACATTATAATAAATGAAAATTTAACATATATATAAGAGAAATTAAAAGTTCATAACCTTAATTGAATTGGCATCACGACTATAAAATGAATTTGGGGATACTCTAGGAGGAGCATTTAAAGAATCAGAACCCTTCAAAATAAGAAAACAAATACATGAAATCTTGGCATAAGTAAACATATATTTAGTAAAGAGTAAAACTAATAATAAATATACCTGTCCACTACAATTTTGTTGTTGCATCTACATTAGCATAGCCACTTGTTGTTGTAAATTTTCCAACTTGTTATCATATTTGGCTCGTAAATTTTCCAACTTGTTGTCATACTCGGCTTGCATTTTTGAAATGCTCTCCTGCAATTCTACACGTGCAGCACGTGCCTCCTCATCAGATTTTTTCGCATTATTAGTTAGTTCAACTTTACTTGGAGAGGGCCCCCAACCATCGCTTGGTGTAGGCCCGAAGCCAAGCATCCACACATGACCAGTTCTCTCTTCTCCCCTTACAATGGAGAACAAATTATTGGAACTGCCAATAGGCGAGTCAGAGTAACTTTTTTGAAGTTCTTTTATATTTTACTGCCAAAAAAAAAAAAAAAAAAGTTTGAACTACCATGACATACTGCTATGAAACATCCAGACAAATCTAATGAAATGAATAATAGAACAGGAATCCAGAAACAGCTGAACAGAAAAGTAATTAGATAACAAATTGGTAATGATGAAAGCCAAAGTGTTCTGAAACAACAGTGCATCACACAATGTGAAAATATAGTTGTACATACCTTTGAACTTTCATACAATCTAAAGCTTCAAAATATTCACACCCACTTCATTTACAGACAAAATGATGGAAATTAAAGGAATGCTAAAAATTGTGCGCAATATACTGACATTTCAGAACCTAAATAATAGTACTTAGCTTCAACCTGAAGTCTGAGGCCCATTTATTTATTTGTGTTTGTGTGTGTGTGTGTGTCTGAGGACCATTTTACTTACAAATTCAGGATACTTGTTAATTGGTAATACGAGTACTTGGCAAAGATGATGCACAGGAAGTGATTTCCAAAGCTCCATTCACTACAAACCTACTACTACATTCATGTAACTTGTTTTTCTAACAATTCTTAAAAATAAAAAAATCAGTTCCAAACAAGTTAAAAATAATTTTTATATATGATTATTTTTGAGTGGCAAACCAAGTAAGACAGTATTAGTTAATGACAGATTAGTTTGTTGTCATTTAATTAAGGCAACAATTTAACTTTTTATTGAAACACAGACAAGACACAAGACAACTGGTGTAAAACCACCAAAAAGAAAATATTATGACATGAAAGGTGAAGAATCAGGCATGAATGTTAATGTAAACTTCTAAATTGAAAAACTTTTAAGTTAAGAAATTACACTACTTAAATCTAACTGTGTTAGTTGTAGATTTACCGGAGCAATGGTCAGAAGCCAATTTTATAGGCGGAACTTAAGGATTGCAACTTAACATAACAAACAAGAGAAGGGTATAGCAGTCAAAAGTATCTTAATTAGAAATAAGAAACAATTTCAGATCATGATAGCAAGCAATGTAAGTGATAGCAACGTAAGAGATAGACGGGATTAACAAGCTTGATTTCCTCTCCAGTTTCTGGTTGGAGCAGGTCTTGATTTATTTCTGGTATGACTTTGGGGGAAACCAATGATCAGAAATGAAAATCATGGGATATACCTTTTGTGGAGGTCCCAATGAAATCCAAAGACTCGTATAAAAAACACTTTATTGATTCATAGTTGCGGTTTTCTGTAAATATAGTGCAATTGTCAATAGTGGGTCGGGGTTAAAACTTTAATGCTTTATAATCTGATCAGTACTTCAAGGAAAAAAAAGGGGGATTCATTCACTAGACAGAATTTTGTCGCCTGGTTGTTTGCTAAACGCTCGTGACAAAATGTTTTACACTATAAAAATATGTTTGTTGCTAGAAGTCTAGTAAAAAAATGTGATAAATACTTTTACATTCCAATGACCTCCTAAAAATTGTTTGTTTCATAAGTTAGGCCTCTTAACTGTCTTTGTTACTCCCCCTTATGTATATTCATCACTAGAGTTTTTCTATTTTGATTTTTTCTTTTTCTCTCTTTTGCATGCATCTCTCTAAAGTTCTGCTTTTCTTTTTCTTTTTAAATTACATTTTCTTAACCCATATATATCTATGCAAGTACTCTTAGAACCCCCTAGGATCTTTACCCTCAAAAATATTTTTGTGTGTGCATTCATGTATTAATAAACTGATTTTGTCATTAACATGGTATAAGTATCTAAAAATTACAATCATGCATAAATATGGATAAATATGGACATGTAAGGTGCCTATCACATTTTCATTTATTATTAAATCTATGATTCCATTAATCTAGTTTGTGAGACCACATGGATGTCATTACAAAGGACAATCACATTTAACTCATCATTACACACTTAAATTGACCTAGCACATCAAAACTCGTTGTTAGATGACTACTTAATGTCTTTTAGGCCCTATTACAAATTTTCGCATAAAAAGTCTTATTTACCCAATGGCATCTTCATCCACATCATTCATATGAACATTCCCCTAGGATGTTGTAGAAAAAATTAGGGCATGACAATATAAGAAACTAAAAAGACATAAAATTAAAATTAAAGGGTCAAACTTAAGTTTAATGGGCTTGTTGATCTTCTTGAACAAGATTTGAATTTGCAAAACAAAGAAGACAACTACTATACCCATGCATTATATGTGTTACAAATTATCATAATCCCTCTATTCTTTAGTTTGTGTCCACATTTTCTTAAATTAACACTATATTTTTTGTTTTTTTTGAGTTAGCGGAGGACTAGTTTTGGAACTTTTTATCCATCTATATCATATAATAATTCTAAATGAGTTCCTTTTTAACTTATCATCTGTTCAATTTGGATTAGTTCATTAAATAGATGTTCCGTTGAAAAAGTAGTGCAAAGAACCTTCATGAGCTACATACATACAAAATGTTTATTTCTGTTCTTCTGAACTTCACTTACATTGTTTTCAATCTTATGTTTTGTTCTTGACTTAATTTTTGGCTTTTGCAGATTTCCCCAGTTTCGCTATAGTCCTGCCCAACCGACGCTATCTAGAGCAGAGTTGCCAACCTAGGAAGTCATACAGTAGTAACTAGTTTTAGCTACTTTATTTGGTTGATTTGAATGATTTATCATTTCAAAATTGATATTAAGAATCAAAATCATATTAACCATTGTCCAAAATTATGTTAGTCCAAAATTATGTTTCTCACAGAATTTTACTCTTTGCTATATTTGGGTTGAATTTTTGGCATTTATGGGGCAGATGTTATTGGCTGCTTCTAGTAGTCATATACAACAAGTGAGATTGGTGATGATGGATCTTAAAAACTTCATGGTGCATGTTTTGTTTTAACTTTATATGTGTATATCATACTTTTACCATGATTCAAAAGACCACTACACTGGTATGAGTAAGAAATTAACACAAACAACAAACAATAAATAACAAATACTTCTCCTCCACAACACAAATCAATCAACAAGAAGCCTCCACATACAATGATCCCATACTCCCATGCTTTTCAACAAATACAAGAAAGTAAATTGCCTCCACATGGGCCGATGATAAACAATGAAATTAAAATGCCTCCACATGGGCCGATGATTTAAAAATTGGTCACTTTAAGGCATGTGACCCCCTAATACACCACAAAGAGTTTTAAAATTGGTCACTTCAAGGCACGTGACCTTTTTTGTGCAAAATGGAAACATGAAAACTTACAATCATCTCTGAAGCAGCAGCATCAATAGCTTTGCCATCCTTATTTATATGTGTGCAAATGAATAAATCTGCACGAGAAAGCTGAATACCTTCGTCTTCCTCAATCTATAAAAGAAACATAGACATTGTGATATATATTATTATTTACCACTAACATTTATAATCATTCAACGACATAAGAACTGAAATAATTTATATTACTAAAACTTCAACTAACCTCGGCAGAAATACGTGCAAAGCTTTTTGTCCCTGTAGTATGCATCATTGTCTACATCCCACGGCGTTCTTTGTTTTTTTTACTGACCTCCTCCAAAAAGTGAGAAAAAGTAAACGTTCTAACATTCCACCTAAAATAATGACTGAAAACAGGTAAACTATAAATTCAACTCATTGACTTTAAACAAAATTGGTAGATTGAGGATTACCTTCGCCATAGGCGTACCCCAATGCCTAACCAAAAATTCCCAATGCTCCTTTTCAACATCAGGTGGTGGGTTTGCCAATCTTTCTGCATCTATATCCCTAACTGAGTAATATTCACTTTTTATTTCATACTTGTACCCCCTCCATTTTTTTTCGATGGAGGATATTGTCCAATGTTTTGACATGATTCCCACATCATACTTTCCCTGAAAATGTGATAATTGATGCATGTTAATCCACTTTTTCCATAAAATTTATTTTAATATCATTAAAGGGTTTTACCTCTACAACGTTCCACATATCATCCTTCAGCCGTTTAGGCATCTCCCACCAAGTTTTGTAGCACAAAGGAGCTAAATTAGCATTCCGGGCAAGTGTTCCCAAATAATTAGTATATGTACCACTTCTAGGGCCGATCGGTTGTCCAAACTTATTAACCCTAAACAAAAATTAACAATTGTAGATGTTTAGTACAAAAATAAAGATAGAAATCCTTTTTTCTCCTTCATATTGAATATAGTCTAATTATGTAAACTATATAAGATGATATCTATATATATGTACCTTAATGGTAATAAAGTTGTCGCGGTTACGACATTCTTGCATCGTGTCGGGCCCTGTCTCTTCTTCGGCGGTGGTTGGGATGATTTTGAAGTTGAAGCTTCGCTATTTTGTTCACTCACTTTTTCCACTTCTCTAACCATTCGTTTCATTGTTAGTTTATTATTTATCCTTCCTAGAAAAGAAAACAAAAAGTGAGAATTCATTTAAGAGAATGCAATCAAATTGTTTAAAAAAGGCAGTGCACAATTCAGGAAAAATCAATAAAAAGAACCTAAATAAAAAATATGGACAAGAAAAATATTATTGGTAAACATGATAACAATTTAGTCAAGGTATTTGAAAAGAATAAAAAAGTAACAATTTAGCCAAACATTTTACCGATCCCACCTAAATTCCAACAACAATGATACTATCCAGTTTTTATAAAATATCCTACCATCTTCAAGTGTTATCAACTATCTAAAGAGTTTCACTCTATCAACCAAACACTCTAACCAACATTATTTTATGCTGTGTAGTATGTAGGTTTATTTTATTTATTTTTTACTTTTATTTTATACTGTGTAG